GACCTTCCGAGACCCGGCGCGAACCTGACCCCGGCTAGGCCAGGATCCGGGTGGACCAAACGCGCGTCTCTCGCCCGGCACCTGGCTCGGCTTCGACGGAAAGACCCCGGTCCCGCGCCCCCAGCCTCACTGGGCCCTCTACGCTCAAGGATGCCACCCGATTGTCCGCGCCGCGACGCGGCCTCTCACCTAGGCGTCGTCTCCAGACTCCGCACCGGAAAGAGAGAGTGGGAGAGGGCGGAGCGACGGGGGTCACTTCCGTGTCCCGGAAGTGTACCTCTGAGGTCACGGGGCGAGGCCGGCTCCCGGAAGAGGCCGCCTTTATTGCTTCCAAAGAGATTAAGACTCGCCCTAGCGAAAGACAGTTTATTTAAGGCAGAGTGAAAGGAGGCAGGGGCCTGGGTGTCGCTGCGAGCGGATCTGCCTACGCGAGTGTACAAAGCGGCTACACCAGCTTGATGAAGCGGGGCCTGTGTTCCAAGAGCTCGGTGGCCGCGGCTAGACGGACTTCCGGCATCCTGACTCTGGGCCTGGCAGCCCGGGAGCGGCAGCGCACCTCCTGTTGCGGAGGGGAATAACAACAACAAAACCTCCGTGATCAAAGCTGGGCGGGTGGCTTGAGCCTGCTGGCGAAGCTGAGGTGGGAGGATCCCGGACGCCAGCAGTTTGAGTCTGGTCGAAACAATATAAAGAGACCCCCCTCCGCCATCCCACACACACCGTCTTTAAAAAAACAAAAAGAAAAGAAAAACCCATCGTCATCACATACTTTTGCCTACTATGTACTGGGCAAAATAAAAATATATTGTTTAATATGTATTTATATACCAGCCTGGGTTAAGCAATTTACATGCATCACTTCATTTAATTTTCACAACATTATCAGCTACTGTTTTGATTTCCTTTTTACAGATAAGGGGTGTTAACTGAGATCACACGTTCGTGGCCAGTTTGGAATTCTAACTTCCATGCCCATATGTTTAACATCTACTTCCATATATCCCTCTAATAACAATATTGAAGGACCTTGAAGGATTGGGAGAATATGTAAGTGGGATGGGGGAAGGGCCAAGAAGCGTACCTAGGAGAGCTTGGCAAACAGTAGCTACATTATAGATACACAAAGACATGTGCGCACATACATACACACATACATATGTATGTAAAACCTATACGATGAAAAATATATATAGCATACATATAAATTTTTTAACAAAATGATTATGCAAAATAGCATATAGCTTTTTGTGTACTGGAATTGACACCACTGTGAATGAGTACGGGTCCCCTTAGGGAAGAGCTTCTTTTAAAAAATGTAGTGCCCTCT